CCCCCCCCCCCCCCCCCCCCCAGCCCCGTCCCCTAAACCAATATCTGCACCCTCCTAAGTAGATTTTCCAGCCAATAGTTAGCAAGTAGAGGTTTTTGGTTTTGAGGTTTTTTGTTTTCTTTTAATGCATGTATCCCTAAGAAGATTAAGGCAGGACTCTCAGTCATTCTAATCTTATGTGAATGCATAAATCAAATGATTTTTGTTATAACATCCCATTTGGAGGTGTTATACATTAAGGAAGTGGAGGGGAGGGCAATTTGGGAATGACTAGGGAGAGATGGCTCGCCTGGACAGAGAGGACCTGGACAGACAGAGGGCATTTTGAAGAGGTTTCTTGGCCTCATATTGTAGGAAAGAGCCAAAGATACACAGTTTTCTCCAGTGTTCTGCTTGCCTCAGAGGGAAAGTCCCCCCGCTCCCACTTTGGAACTGCGATCTGTGTGTCCCTGCTTGCGGCTTTATCCAGGCTCAGACACCCTGGGGTGACAGGACAAGGTGGTCTAGGATACAGAGATGAAGAAGGTGGAGGGCACGGAGAGCAAAAGGAAAAAGTAGTGTAATCACTCATGGAGAAACGTTTGGTTGTGAGTGACCATGCATACATGCTTGTAGCTATGGGGAGACATGGGCTCTGAGATGCTGCGCCCACCTTTGCTTCAGACATCATGTGTCTGGATGTTTCCCTAGAATGCCAGAGGGTTCAGCATGAGCATCCCCATGCCCGGACATCCAGTGAACTTCTCCAGCGTCACCCTGGAGCAAGCCCGCAGGGATGTGGAGCAACTAGAGCAGCTCATCGAAAGCCATGATGTCGTCTTTCTACTGATGGACACCAGGGAGAGCCGCTGGCTTCCTGCTGTCATTGCTGCGAGCAAGAGAAAGGTAGAGTGTGTGGATCTTGTCTCTGGGGCTCTTGTCTCTGGTTGTGCCAATGCACCATCACCCTAGAGGGAGAACTGTCCCCAATCTGCCCTTTTTCCAGGAAAGAGCTGTGCTTTGTGTGACCTAGTGACATGGTGCCAAAGGGCTTACACTGCAGAGTCTGTCTTTGCCTCACACACATCATCCAGTATAATAGCTGTCCTTTACTGTTTGGTTTTCATAGCAACCCTTTGAGGTACTCTACGCTAGAAGGAGTACTCTGCTTAGATTACAGCGTAAGCTCCAGGAGGACAAAGACTTCGCCTCATTCCCTACTCTTTAGTCGGTGACAACTTCAAGGGGCCAACAGTAGTGAGTGGTTAAATAAATCATGGTACATATTCATGATAGAATAGTATGCAGCCATTCACAGTTATGTTCTCAAAGAATTTTAATAACATGGAAACACTACTTTATATTAAATAAGCAAGATACAGTATTGTATATATTTTATATCAATTATATTTATATATAAACATATATAGTCATTTATATCTATGTCTGTTTATCTAGAGAGAGAGGAGATGGGACAAGAAGAAGGGAGAAAGGAAGGGAGGAATGGGAGAGAAAGGGAGAAAATAACAAAAAGAAATACCCCAAACTGTTAATAGTAATTGTTTGAGCTGTGAGATTGTGATTTTTGTTTTCTTTTCTAGTATGGTTTTATTTAATTTTTCCAACTTTTACAACAGAAATTTGGGAGAATAAGTTAAATTACAACCAAGAGAAGATCTTATAGTATAAATGAAAAAAACCTGTGCTTAAAAAAATGTACATGAAAGGGGAATTATATGGTATGTGAATTATATCTCAATAGAGCTGTTATGAAAAAAAATCTGTGTAGACGTGACAGAGGATAGCATAATGATGGAAAGAATGAGGCTGAGAACTATCGAGAGTTGGTTTTCTACACCTGTCTCTTACCAGCTGAATGACCTTGGGCAAGTTGTAGAAGCAATCTCTCTGACTTCCAGTATTCTCAGCCGTAAAGAGGGAATGTTTGCTGGAAGTTTAAAATGGAACTAAGTGAAATAATTTGTTAATCATTTGTCAAGTCTTTTGCATTTAAAAAGCCCTTAGTATTGGGTAGCTTTTACCAACATTAGCTTCTAGAATCTACACTTACGTCCAAATACTTATAAAATAAATTTTAAAAGTTGACCAGATATGAAATTAGCCATGGCTTAAAATAAAAGCATCTCTTAACTCTGGTCTTTTTTTCCTTGAAACCTGAAGCTGGTCATCAATGCTGCCCTGGGATTTGACACATTTGTTGTCATGAGACACGGCCTGAAGAAACCTAAGCAGCAGGGAGCCGGGGACTTGCGTCCCAGCCACCCTGTGGCACCTGCCGACCTCTTGGGCTCATCGCTTTTTGCCAACATCCCCGGCTACAAACTCGGCTGCTATTTCTGCAATGATGTGGTGGCCCCCGGAGATGTAAGTGGATTACTTTGTGGTTCCAAGTATTTCCTACAACTGTCTTGCCTACTAGGGCAGCGAGACCCAGCTCTTTCCTTTATGACTATTTAAGTATTGTCTTTTAACAAAGAGAAGAATTCTCCAGTTTTGGGGGTGGCATTATTCTACTATGAGCCTTGATTGGCACCATCATAAATGTAATGACACACCGTTTTTGTGGAAAGCTCAGCATGGAAAGTGCAGGATAGCCTGGTCCCTGGCAGCGCCCAGCAGTGTATGCTGTGCTTATCTTAGTGAAGAGAGCATTAAACGAGGAATCCGAAGACCTAGACTGCAGTCTGGGCTTGGACACTGCCTCGTGGGGTAATTCCAAACGAGTCTCTTGGGCTCCTTGTGCTTCTGCAAAATGGAGCTGGGGCCATAGGCTTGTCAGATTTGCGAGTAAAGATACAGGATTCCCAGTTAACTCTGAATTTCAGGTAAATAATGAACAATTTTTTTAGTGTAAGTTATGTCCCATACTATATTCGAGACGTACTTATACTAAAAAAGTGTTGCTTATCTAAAATTCAAATTTAACTGAGCATCTCGTATTTTATTTGCTAACCCCAGTAGGGGAGGGAAGAATACTTTCCCTGGCAACCCACAGTCCAAGGTGGAAAGTGCCCTGAACAGCAAGTGATAGCCCATTCAAATGTCAGATTCTATAGCCTGCATGCCACCACGCAAGGCAGAGTCCGTGGGAATGGTCCTCTGTCAGAAGAGATACTCATTTCTGGTGAAGCAAAGCAGAGGTGTTTTCTGGACCCTCATCTCCATTTTCCCCTTCTTTTAAAACCTATTCCTTAAGAACTCATACCTCTTTTGGATGACTGGCTTTTATGTTCTCCCAGTATAGAGGGAAAAAGATAAATATTCTCTTCTGTGAAAAGGATGGCTTTATGGTCTCCATCACGGTGTCATAATATACAGCTGGTCCTGTTCTTTCATTATTACCAATAAGTAGCGTTAAGGGTCATTTGCAGTAAAGTCACATCTGTTTATAAAGCAAGATTTTCAGTCAAAATTATTTCTAATAACCCCTTAATGTGCCTAGAGCTGGAAGGTCAGAATTTTCTTTGGTTAAACTAACAAAGGCTGTGTTTGGAGCCACGTTGTAGCAAAAATACTTGTATTGAAGCCCTCTGTTCACACTCATGGTGACAAGATGCCCACACTGTGAGAGGCACATAGGAACTGAGGACTGCAGGAATAGCAAATCATTGCTGCCATCTCACAGGCGCTGTGAGGCATTAGCTCAGTTAGAATGACAAGGCAGAATCATCTGCACTGTTCAAATGGTTACACTTCTCTGTGTCTCTGTCTCTTAACTACCAAGCACAATAGAGTTGAACTGGGTCAGTTAAAAGAGCACAAGTTGCATCTCCACTATATGAGGCAGCTAGGCCCTTGTTTTGGTTGATATCCTGCTGTCTTTAATTTGTCTGTAACTGCTCATTCATTTTAGTATATTACCTCATTTAGTTACCTAAATTGTATATTTTGGGGTTTCTTTGGTACCTGCAAGAAATAATATTATTTGAGGCTCAATGTTCTTTGCCAGCAGTGAGCATCTGGTTGTGTTGTATAGCTTTATTTGGAGGAGTTTCGTGCTTCAGACAGGTAGAGTTGAGTGGAGTAAAGCTCTGAGCACACGTCAATGATTATTTCACTGTAGTCAACCAGAGACCGGACCTTGGACCAGCAGTGCACTGTGAGTCGTCCAGGATTGGCCATGATTGCAGGAGCCCTGGCCGTGGAATTGATGGTCTCCGTTTTGCAGCATCCAGAAGGGTGAGTTTGCTGTTTAGAGATGGGTGTTTAAACAAAGAAAGCTTTTGTGTCTCCCTTGGCCTTTTCTCAGTCTAACTCTTCTGAGAATTGTGTTGCTTTTTATATTCTCAAAAAAACACAAGACTTAAAAAACCTGGTCTGATTCTTTGGCCTGGAAGAACTTGTCATGTGATCTTTGGGGCTACATCTCTGCATCCTTCTGGAACTGAGCTCTACTTCTAGAGTTATTTGGTAACTGATGATAAGGAAGAGTAAAAATTTAGGTAGGGGGCCTTAGGAACTTCATGCTTTTATTCTGTTAGTAAGTTTTGATCTCCTTAGCCCCAAACATTTGTAAGGCAATATATGACTCACATATGCTAGCAATTGCTCTTGGCTATATGTAACAGATCTGTCTGCAGTGACTTAGCCAAGTGGGGCTTTATTTTTCTTATGCAGCAGGAAGCTCAGAGGCATGCAATCCGGGCTGGTATGAAGGCTCTGTTATGCCGTCAGGGACTTGAGTTCCTTTTTATCATTCACTCGGCCACTCTTCGCTTTCTTCCTTACGCTTGTCACCTTGTGGTTACAAGATGACTGGTCTACCTCCAGTGTTGCCTCTGTGCTACAGTTAAGAAGAAAGGACTGATCAAAGGATAAAAGTTGTGCTCAGGTTAGTCTTCCACCTTTTAAAGAGCTTTCCTGGAAGACTCACCCATTGATTCTAACTGTTGTATCACATGGCCACTCTTAGCTTCGAGGAAGACTGATGGATGTAGTTGTTTTGGCTGGATACACTGCTTCTCTGAATAAAACTGTGATAAGATAGAAGTGGAGAATGGATGTTGGGTAGGCAACCAGCAGTGTCTGTGTACTCATTTTAAAAAACTCTGTATAGGGGCCGGCCCGGTGATGCAGTGGTTAAGTTCACACGGTCTGCTTCTCAGTGGCCTGGGGCTTGCCAGTTTGGATCCTGGGTGCGGACATGGCACCACTCGGCAAAAGCCATGCTGTGGTAGGCGTCCCACATATAAAGTAGAGGATGATGGGCACGGATGTTAGCTCAGGGTCAGTCTTCCTCAGCAAAAAGAGGAGGATTGGCGGCAGATGTTAGCTCAGGGCTAATCGTCCTCAAAAAAAAAAAAGAAAACAACTCTGTATATATTTTAAACCCTGCAAGCTATTATTATTGTTATATAGTTAATATTCATTTAGTTTTGCTAACATTTCCTTTTTTGTTGCTTTTCATTTCTTTTGGTATCTTGAAGCTTCCAACCAAGGACATTTTCCTTCTGTCTGAAGAATACCCTTTATTATTTCCTTTAGAAATGCTAGTGACAAAGACATTTCAGTTTTTGTTTGTCTGAAAGTGTCTTTGTTTTATCTTCAAGTTTGAAGATATTTTCTTTGGGTATAGAATTCTAGGTTGGTGGTCATTTTCTTTCAGCACGCTGACAGTATAATCCTGTCGTCTCTGGCTGCCTTTATCCTTGGTGAGGAGTTGGGTGTTTATCTCATTGCTGCTCCTTTGATACAGTTGGTTTTTCTCCCTCTTGCCCTCCCCACAGTTTCTTTTAAGATTCTCATTGTCTTTGGGTTTCAGGAGTTGGACTATGATATACCTACCTCTGTATTTATTCTGATTGTTTTTTCTAGTACTTCTTGAATCTATGTTGATGTTTTTCATCTGTTGTGGAAAATTCTCAGCCATTATCTGTTATAATATTGCTTCTGCTCCTTTTTCTCATGCTTCTTTCCTTTTAAGACTTCAGCTGCATATCAGAATCAATTTATGCTACTTTTTGTATTTTCCGTCATTTTGTCATTCCTTGTTTTGGTCTGGCTATTTGCTTTTGGCTTTTCTTCCAGTTTAATGGTTCTCTCTTCTTCTGTGTCTAATATATGTTAAAACCATTCATTGAATTTTTAATTTCATTATTAAATGTTTCAGTTCTTACATTTCCATTTGATCTTATTTTACACATTTCCTGTTCTCTGCTGAAATTGTGATTTCCGTCTTTTTGGTTCCTTAAAAACATTTAATCATGTTTTCCTTTTAAGTCCTTATCAGATATCTCTATTGTCTGGATCTCCTGTGAGTCTTTTCCTATTGTCTATTGTTTTTCTTGGTTTTGGGTTATGTATTATCTCCTTATATACCTGGTGTTTTGGGTATTTATTTATTTGTTTGCAGGGGAAGATTTGCCCTGAGCTAACATCTGTTGCCAGTCTTCCTCTTTTGTTTTTCCCTCCCCCAAGCCCCAGTGAATGGTTGTATATCCTAGTTGTAAGTCATTTTGTTTTTTTTTTAAACAAAACCTTTTTATTATGAAAATCAAATATATATGAAAGAAGATATATGTAAATAAGATAATAAACTGCCCTGTTTATACCACCCGGCTCCAACAATTACCAGCACATAGCCAGTCATCATTTGCCTGTACAGGCGTACCTCAGAGGTATTGCAGGTTTTGTTCCAGACCCACTGCAATAAAATGAATGTCGGAATAAAGCAAATGTCACAATAAAGTGAGTCACACAGATTTTTTGTTACCCAATACTTATAAAGTTATGTATACATTATACCATAGTCTGTTAAGCATGCAATATCATTATGTCTAAAAAACAATGTACATACCATAATTAAAAAATATTTTGTTGCTAAAAAATGTTGGGCCTGGTCCAGTGGCTGAGTGGTTAAAGTTCTGCATGCTTCACTTGCAGCGGCCCGGGTTCATGGGTTCAGATCCTGGATGTGGACCTACTCCACTCACCAGCCATGTTGTGGAGGTGTCCCATATACAAAAAAATAGAGGAATATTGGCACAGATGTTAGCTCATGGCTGATGTTCCTCAAGCAAAAAAGAGGAGGATTGGCAACGGATGTTAGCTCAGGGCAATCTTATTCAGCAAAAAAAAAAAAAAGTGCTAACCATCATCTGAGCCTTTGATGATTCTTAATCCTTTTTGTTTGTGGAAGGTCTTGTAACAAACACAATATCGTCGAAGCACAGTAAAGTAAAGTACAGTAGAGCAAGGTGTGCCTGTACTGCTATGCACATTTTTTCTCCCCACGTGGGCTTATTTTAAAGCAAATTCAAGACATAGCATTTCATTCATAAAAATGTATCTTTTTAGTATGTACCTCTACTATTTTTACATATAAAAACAAATTAAAGGCAATTCCTTAATATCATCACATATTTAATCAGTATTCAAATTTCCTCAGTTCCTTGAATCTGCTTGGTTATTTTTGATTGAGTATTGGACGCGATACGCAAAACATTACAGAGATGATGTGATTTACATCTTCTTCTGGCAGACTGCTAGGCCAAGTGGACTAGCAGCCCTGGAACAACTAAATTCAATTAGGGCTTATCTGTTTCTGGTTCACCCTTGCTGAGGATGTAGCTCCCATTGGTTCCAACCCAAAGTCTGGGACATTTTCCATGGTTCCTCTTGATTGGCAGACTTCACACTCTGGTTTTTTCCCTCCAGCTCCGTGAGTCTGTCAGTATCTGATCCCATGCCCACTGCCTCAGAGGTTGGCAATCACCTTATGGAGGAAAGCTCCCCTTGCAAATGCCTGGTTTACCTCTGTGGGCTGCTCACAGATCTTGGCTCTGCAATTCTTCCCCACCTTGGTAGCTCTCTGATGCTTCCAAGCAAAGGTTTTTATACTTTGTCTAGCTTTTCTATTTGTTCTCAGTGGGAGGGTTGGTCCTGACCACCTAGTCCACCAAGACCATGTCAATTTTAAAAATCTCTTTTAATTTATTGAACACTTATGATGTACTAGGCTTGCATGTGAGAGTAAAGAAATGAGTGGGCTGGTGTGTTTGGTTGCAACTTGACTTTGAGCCTTTTAGTAATCTATGTGTTTAACACTTTGTATATACGTTATGTTAAGGATACAAAAATTAGCACAATTGTGATCTGGACACCCTATCTCTATGACTCATGAACAATAGAGTTAGTTCATCTTGTGATGAGTAAAAGTGAGACAAAAATGAAATTAATTTTAAAAATAAAGTCAGTAATTTAAAATAAGAAAGAGGAAAGGAAGAGAAGAGAAAAGGAAAGGAATTGAAAAAAGAGAAAAGAAAAAAATTAAATAATTTAAGAGTTTCTTAAACTGTCTGCTCAAGTCTTTGCTGTCAAATGTCAGATGGTGAAGACAGACTGAAGTCAAACAGGTATTTATACCTGACTGTATGACAAATACACTGTGATTAATTTTATTTCTCAAACACTTATATAGTGCTTACTCTGTGCTAGGCACTGTTCTAAGCACTTTACAAATAGTAACTCATTTAATCCTCAGAGCAGACCTGTTAGGAAAGAAACCATTATTAGTCCCAGTTTTGGTGGGGAAGTTGAGGCACAGAGAAGATAAGTAAGTTGCTGAAATTCCCATAACTGGTAAGCGTTGATGCTGGGATTTAGCTCAGCCAGTGTGGCTCCAAACTCTGTTTTTTTTTTTTTTTTTTTAGATTTTATTTTTTCCTTTTTCTCCCCAAAGCCCCCCGGTACATAGTTGTGTATTCTTCGTTGTGGGTTCTTCCAGTTGTGGCATGTGGGACGCTGCCTCAGCGTGGTCTGATGAGCAGTGCCATGTCCGCGCCCAGGATTCGAACTAACGAAACACTGGGCCGCCTGCTGCGGAGTGCGCGAACTTAACCACTCGGCCACGGGGCCAGCCCCTCCAAACTCTGTTTTTAATCACTCTGCTATGCTGCTTGTAATATAGGCAGGGGAGAATTGAATTTTCAAAAGATTTGTAAAGAATTGGAAAGAATTTCCAATTCTCAGAAATTAACATGACTATTCTATTTATTGTGTGACTCAGAGCTTTTCTATGCAGTTGGAGAGACGGCCTCACTACAATGTTGGTAGCACATGTAACTAGTCTAGATACTCCAGAGTTAAATGAAAATAAGCAGCTTTTTGTGTCTTCCTCTCATCTCTGTCACCGATGTGGCTCTGCCTGCCGTCTAAGTGTATGTGGCCTCCTGACAGGAAGTATTTGGGATAAAATCCTAGAGAGCAGATTCTACGGTTCCCTGACACTGACCCCTCTCTCTGCCAACATTTGCCTTAGTCATAGGTTAAAACTACGTCCTGGGGCTGGCACAGTGGCATAGTGGTTAAGTCCGCATGCTCCACTTCGACAGCCTGGGGTTCTCAGGTTCAGAACCCGGGTGTGGACCTACACACCACTCATCAAGCCATGCTATGTTGGCATCCCACATACAAAATAGAGGAAGATTGGCACAGATGTTAGCTCAGGGACATAAGTAAACATCACACCACAGTTCAGGAAGGAGTGCTTTCCTTCTCCTGCCCAATTAATTCCTCATTTTTCTTTCTTCTTCCTCCATTTTGGTAGCATTTACACCACCTCAGAAGTTAAGATTGGAAAGTTTTCCATTTTAAAATTTCAATACAAAAATATGCTGTGGTGTTTTACAAGACCATCTCAGAATAGGGGAATTAATATTTATTGCTTTATCATGTACCAAACATTGCACTTGGCAATTTATCTAACTTATTCCTAATTTATTCCTCACACCATCTCATTCCTATTTCACACGTGATGGGCCTGAAGCACAGAGAAGTTAAGCAGCTTGCTTATGGTCACAAACTCTGGTCTTTCTGACTCCAAAACTCAGGCATTTTTTTAGTACTCTTCTGCCTTCCCTGCCAGCACAATTGGTTTCTCGCTAGCCTGTGCTGCTTTGCAAGGGGCATTTTGGTTAACCTTATAAATCTTCGTGGACCTCCTGCAGATCATCCTCACAGACGTTAAACGTAAACTTTTATGAAATGAGCAGCTCTAATTGTTTCCTTTTCTCAGGGGCTATGCCATCGCCAGCAGCAGCGACGACCGCATGAATGAGCCTCCAACCTCTCTTGGGCTCGTGCCTCACCAGGTTAGTGATTTGCAAATGAAATCACAGTTCTGGACCGGATCCCAGTGGTGCAGGGGGAAAGCATTTGGGGTCACTTTACCCTGCCATCCGCCCAGCCCACCTCTTCTCCATCCTACTTATCCTCCAGCTACCCTGGAATTTCAGTGGGAGTGCTTTATGACCACCTGGGAGGTATCCCGTTCCGCGGGATGGTGATGAGAAGAAATCATGAACAGGCAGCATTACCCAGAGTCTTGATGCATTTAGCATGTTGACTAGAGGTCTCACAATGGAGGAGAGAAGGAAGAATGGGCTTTGGACTCAGCTAGACAGCAGCATAAATCTCAGCCCTGCATTAGTAAGAGGACCTTCCATGGTCAGGTCACTACACTTCTCTGAGCCTAGTTCTCTTGTCTATAAAACAGAGACAGTAATACTGACCTCATCTGGTAGTTGCAGAGATTAGAGATGATATCTAGAAAGGGCTCAGCAACAGTGCCAGCTATGTCATAGGCTCTCAGTAAGTGATGCCCGCTGTGTTTGTTGCTCTTCTTTGTTACTGTTATTGACTCCCCGCCAGATACAAAGCCTTTCTGGGCACGCATGGGAAAACCATTAGAAGTGTGCAGCACCACCAAAAAGTGGGGTGGCTTTTCAGAAAAACAATCTGAAGCATCATGAGGAAGGTCCATTCCATTGAAAGTGAAAAAGAAAGAAAAGTAGTGGAATGAAAATTTAGAATTCCTGTTGCCTCTTCAGTAATTTGTGTTACTGTATTTTTGGAGGACTGAAGAGGTTTTCTGGTCTTGCTTTTTGGAAGTCATCTCTCTAGGTTTGATACATGTATGTCAGTCTGTAATAGGAGGGCTGTCTCCGTGAGCAAAGCGGTGATAGTGCCCGACAGTCCTGTCTGGGATTTGCAAGGACAGACACACAGATGAGTGCAGAGAGCAGAGTGACTCACTCAATTGACATTTGTATCTCTCTGCCTCCCCACTGCCCACCTCCTATCATCTAGGACAGCGCTATCATTTTCCAGTTGAGGATGAGAATCAGAAGAAGGGGAATTACTTGCTCACGGTCACAGAGAGAGGCATGGATGAGCCACAGTCCAGACCTAAACTTGGCACTCCGGCCACGGCTCTTTCTGAGGCTTTGTGAGTGGAAAGAGCCCTGGCCTGCACGTGGAGAGAGTTAGCTTTGAATCACTCCTCTGGCCCTCTTGCACTAGGTGACCTTCATAGACCTTGTTGTAGGTCACTTACCGTCCCCAAGCCTCAGTTTCCATGTCGGTAAAAGCGGGTGCTTTACCTTGTGTCCAGGATTATGTCTGTGATAAGTCTTTGTAAATCGTAAAACACTGTGCAAATGTGACTTTTCCAGCCTGCCTCACACAAGGTGGCATTTATTTGACATGAATGTGTTCACCTTTTCTACAGAAATATTTGAAGTAGGACCCAACAGACACTGTAATAACTCTCCAGTGTGTGGAAGCTGTCCTCCAGAGCCGACTCTGCTGCTTATGCTCTCGGGTCTCATGCGCCTCCGTTCCCTCTTCCCTTCTTCATACCTCCTTCCCTTTCTTCTGACCTTGAGATGCGCCCTCATCTCCTTTACGGATTTCATGCTGAGAAGGGCCTTGATTAAATTTTTAGTCATGCCCCTGCACCGGTTTCCGTCTTTCAGTCCTTTATGTTAAATCACTGCGGTTGTAGTTTTCTCAGTGCTGAGGCCAGAGGGCAAAACAGTCTCTTTACAGAAGGGATCCAGTGTCAAAATGCATGTGCCCATGTTTTTAAAGTACTATGGCAACTAATCCCTCTCAGTGTTATTTACCCCCACTGAGTCTTGCAACTGTTTGTCATTCACCAACTCTTCTAGTTCTTTCTCCTCGTTTTTAAGTGTCTGAAGGATTATTTTGGTTGTTGGCCATCTCTTCATTTGGCCTTTTCAAAGGCTGAAGAATAACGCAGCCATATATGGGAAAAGCCTAGTGTGTGTGTGTGAACTTGCTCACATTATTTCACGTTTCAAGCCTTTATTTTTAGCTCCTTTCTAAAAAAGAAAGTGGAGAAAGAACTTTGAAATTAATCAGAGTTGTGCGGTGCCTATTTATAGTCTTTACATTTCTCCTTTTTTAAGTGGAGCGAGTCCATTTATGCAACTGTGTTTTGATTAGGAGAACAGCGTCTGCACAAAAACCCTGGGCTGAGTTGCAGTGCCTTGGTGCAGACTCAGCACTTCCCTCCTCCTCTTCCTGGCTCTCGGAGACAAATGATTTCCTGTTGGAAAGGAACTTGGTAAACCCCTTTGTGTGCTTTTGTATACAAAGAACGGCCAGTGACGCTCCCTGGGCTCATTTTTCTCAGTTCCCCAAAGGAGCGTGTTTATTAATTGGCCCCTGTGGAATGAGATGTAGTGGAAAAGTGATAGTCCTTGGACCAGAATCACAAGGCCCCCCACCAGCAACTCATTGTGTAATCTGGAGAAAGCTGCTTAACTTAGCTGTGCTCCCTGTGTCTCTGCTCTCCTCCTCGTCAGACCTGGGAGGCCTGAGGATGACTTAGTTGGTCTCTCTGAGACCACAGGCAGAATTTGGCCCATCCAGAGGTTGGTCAAGTGCAGAAAAAAGCTTGATTAGGCCCTGAAATTCAGTGATATTCAGCCTGAAAAAAACCTCTTATTGAATTTGAAAACCGTAAAAAAACCATTTGAAGGTGAGAAAATAGGCTTATGGGGTTGTTCTTTTTTAAAGTCTTGGGCCCAGTGTACATGCATGGGATTCTGCAAGCAGGCAGCAATCAGTATATGCCACTTTCTATCTATAGAGAGAGTGATTTTTTATTTAAGTCATCATTTTATTGATATGTAAAAGACATAGAGGTAATCGTGCAGATCATTAAGTCTACAACTGGAATTATCACAAGATGAGCACTCACATACCCAGCAGACAGATCAAAATAAAATGTTATCAAGCATCTCCCAAACCCCTCATGCTTCTCCCAATTGCTGTCACCTTTCTACAAAGAGGCAAGCATCTCTTGACTCTCAACACCATGGGAGACTTTTGTCTAATTTTGAGCTTTCCATAAATGAAATCATATAGTGTATAACTCTTTGGAGTCTGGCTTCTTTTGAAGAGAGAATTTTTTCATTGTAAATCTTAGCGTAGTATTGTCCCCTCTGCTTCCCATCAAGTGGGATCTTTTATTATATTTTATTTTTTAAAGTTATTTTTTCCTGGCTCCTGGAGTGGTGGCTGAGTTCTGTGAGGCCAGACCCTTTTTCTGGTTCTTGGGTAGAAGGCACAGTTCAGGAGTTATAAAATATACAGGCCACTCCTGATATCATCCAGGAAGTTGGTTTGCAGGTGGGTGAGAGACCCTGAATGTGACAGAAATTAGCAGCCTATGGAGCTGCTGGTTATTTGGCTGGACATCCCTTAACGAGTGAGCAGCAAGGTGGCAGCGCGACAGCCATCCAAACACCACAGTCACTAGCAGAGTAGTCTTGCTTTCACCCCACTGGTGGACCAAGCTGTTCACATTTGTTGTCTTTGGGTAAATGTACTCTTGGTTCTCAACTGCTGTGAATAAGACCCTGAATGTGTATTCCCTTCCTTGGGGTTTGGACTTCCCAACCCCATGGTTCTCTCAGGCTCTTCAATTCTTTCTTTCAGTTACTTTCAGAAAAGTAGAACAAAGCCTGAACTAGGGCAGGACCCTGGGAGGGAGCCAGCCTGGGAAATCTCTGAGACCCATATGAGGCAGACCTGGGGTCTCCAGCCACGTCTTGGACTACTGTTTGTTTGGCCCGTCTGCACAGGCTGTGCCCCACGAATCCTCAGGCCTTTAGCTTTTAATAAGGTCTCTTTACTGTGCTCAGAAATGCTTATCTCGGTGTGCCTCTAGGGATGTGGATGGACTGACTGCTGAGGAAGGAGGTTAGGAAGATAAGCAATGAGAGCATATTTCCTGAAATGTAGCCCAAGGAAAGGAATCTCCTTCCCCCTCTGGTTCTCTACCCCTCAGATTGATGTCAGTAGAAATAGCAGGAAAAATGGCCAGTGCAAATGTCCGCTGTGTCACCATGCCGGCTGCTGTGGTTTGTGACCTAGTCATCCTCCTTCCTTCCCTCCAACCGTCCCTTCAGCTGATGAGTCTCTCTCTGTGCCAAGCACCATTAGGTTCAGAGAAGGTAAGTAACTGGCACAAGATCACTCAGTGTTTAGTTCCATTTGCTTTTGGAGTCATCCAAGGTGGTAGATGTATCCCAAGCCATTTGGATATAGTGGAATCTGTTGCAATGGGGAGGTACCTGAATAGAAGGAGGGATCTGGGTACAAGACGTGACGATGTCTGAGCTTCCTGTGTGAGGGCCTAGAAGAAGAGAGGGCGATTCCATTTCCTTGGTATGCAAGGCAGAGGATAAATTATAGATAGTGTCAGAATTCAAAAGCATCTCAAGATAGCATCTCTGGAGCCACGAAGACTTGGACATAACTCTCAGTTAGAGGATGTTACTTGTGCCCCACGAGTTTTGCTTACCTGCTGAGTCTGTCCTGTTTGAGAGGCTCTGTGATCATACAGGTCTGATTAGAATCCCAGCTTTGCCTCTTACTTTCATATTCATCCATTCATTACCTCATGTTCCAAAAGGATTTAAGACAGCTCTTGCACCCATCACTGTGTGACCTTGGGCAGGTTATTGATCTTCCCTGAACCTCATGTTTTATATCTATAAAATGGGGATAGTAATATAATAAAGTCTTGGAATTCGTGTACAGAATAATTTACATGATATTTACTGAGCGCTAGCACTGTCTGGGCACGTAAGAGACACTTGCAAATGTTGGTTTTCTCTTTCTCTTTCAATGAAAATGGAGCTTGTCTGCTCTCCTAAAAAGAAAGGTACAAAGAATCTCTTAGAACTCTGGAAGCGAAGGTTGGAAGGATTAGCTTCCTTCTTCAGTACTTTCTAAGGATGATGCTGGCTCATTTTCCACTTAGTTCTTCTGCCTC